ACTGGTCTGACTGAAAATGAAAACATAAATAATTTGAACTTTTTTTATACTGTTTCTAGTTCTTCTAACGAGTTTGATGTTATGGGACCCAGTGATGAAAATAGTAGACCTTCGGTTGATGTTCCAAATAGTCAAAATATCTCTAGTAACAGTGACCGTAGAGAACTAGGTAGCTTATCTAGGACTGATGATAATCAGTCGCTTGGTAGCTCTGAAATTCGTGTTGGTCAAGATCTTCCTCAACAGGATGATTCTTACAGAGTTACCAGCTGGCAACCGTTAGGTAGCCCTAGTTGCCAGCTCTCCTCGTGACATTGTTTTGCCTTCTGATGTTTCTGATGATAATACTGGTCATATTTCTGAGGGTAGACAATCTCAAACTCATTCTCTTAGAAGGTTTTCTAGACCTAGTAATTTTCCTAAAAAATTTGATGATTTCGTTATTGAAGGAAAAGTGAAATATGGTATAGAAAGAGTAGTTAATTACTCTTGTCTTTCTTCAGATAATTTTTGTTTTGTTTCGAATTTGAATAAATCTGTTGAGCCTAGGTCKTTTAAAGATGCTTGTAGTGATCAAAATTGGTTAAATGCTATGAATGAAGAGATGGAGGCTTTACATAGGAATGGGACTTGGTTTAATACTGATCTGCCTAGAAATAGAAAAGCTGTAGGCTGCAAATGGGTTTATAAAATCAAGTACAAATCTAATGGTGAGATTGAAAGATATAAAGCTAGGTTAGTAGCCAAGGGTTACTCTCAAAGAAAGGGTCTTGACTATGAAGAGACTTTCTCTCCAATAGTCAAAATGGTCACTGTTAGATGTATTATTGCCCTTGCTGTTCAATTTAAATGGCCTTTGTTTCAGCTTGATGTAAATAATGCTTTTCTTTATGGGGATCTTATAGAAGATGTTTATATGTCTCTTCTTGAAGGATATTATGATTCTAGTGATAAAAGGGTCTGTAAATTGGTTAAATCTTTATATGGTTTAAAACAGGCTCCCAGGCAGTGGTATGCCAAGTTATCATCCTCTTTAATTGAAAATGGTTTTGTGCAAAGCATTAGTGACTATTCGTTATTCACTAAACATGTTAATTATGTGTTCCTTGTTCTTTTGGTATATGTAGATGATATTGTTATTACAGGAAACAGTGTGATTGAAATTAATTCTTTTAAAGAGTACTTGAAAAGTAAGTTTTTAATCAAAGATCTAGGAAAATTAAAATTCTTTTTAGGAATTGAAATTCGAGATTGTATTGATGGTGTTTGTATGTCCCAAAGAAAGTATTGTTTGGAATTGTTAAATGATTTTGGTTACTTGGGATGCAAACCTTCTAGTACTCCTATGGATGTTAATCTTGTCATATCTTATTCAAATAGTTCAAATGATTCTCTTTTATCTGATTGTTCTGGTTATCAACGGTTAATAGGAAGGTTAATATATCTACTTGCAACTCGTCCTGATATAGCATTTGCAGTACATTGTTTGAGTCAGTTTATGCATGCACCTAAACAGTCTCACCTAAATCTTGCACTAAGAATTCTCAGGTATCTTAAGTCTTCACCTGGAAAGGGAATCAGTCTTACAAGGTCAGATAAATTTAACCTTACAGCTTTCGTAGATGCTGACTGGGGTAAGTGTTTGTCATCTAGACGCTCTGTTAAAGGTTATTGTTTATTTCTTGGGAATTCCCTTATTTCTTGGAAGAGTAAGAAACAGAATATTGTTTCACGCTCTTCTGCTAAATCAGAATACAGAGCAATGGCTTCTGTATCTTGTGAAATTGTTTGGGTTCTTAAAATTCTGTCTGACTTAGATATTAATAATCTTCTTCCTGTAAATTAGTTTTGTGATAACAAATCTGCTATTCAAATTACCAATAATCCAGTTTTTCACGAAAGAACTAAGCATATTGAAATAGATATTCATTTTATTCGTGAAAAAATTAGTAGAGGCGTTTTAAAAATAGTTAAAATTTTATCTTCAGAACAAACAACAGATATTTTTACCAAAGCTCTTAGCATTAATCTTCACAACTATATGTGCTCTAAGTTGAGAATGATAGATTTGTTTAAAAGTCAAGATTAAGGGCGGGTGTTAAAATATCTATGTATACCAATCTTGACTTAATCTTGACTTGTTAACAGTTGCTAATTAAACTTTGAAACTCTAGTTTGTTAATATTTTCACAGATAAGGGTAGATTATGCATATTGGTAAAAGTTGTTGATGACTGGTAACTAAAGGGACTGCGCCTCACTAAAGCTCATTCACAAAGGGTAGCGGAATACAATCTTGAAACMTGAAGGACTATTCTTGACAATTATCAATTCATATATAAAGGGGTCATTAGCCGGTTTAGCTCATTACAACACAAAATTTCTCTAAATCATCTAGTGCATATACAAGAAGTTCTCTCTAGCTCTCTCATCTGTTCTTGGCGATCAATCTTTGATCCTAAACATTCTTCATCTGAATTAGTATTTCTTGTTTTCTTATCTTAGACTCAACATTATTAGATGTTTAGATCTTCATTTTTGTAATCTGTTTTAAGTATTTTTTTTTTCTTATTGTATATCTTCTATTTCAGTTTTGATAATAAAATCATTTAGCAATATGAAAATCAACATATGTTTCCTGCAATTGCATTATCAGTTGAAGTTTCTTTTACTCTGCAATGTATCATGCACCTACCTATGCAAATTTTAAAGGTTTTATATGTCTTCAAATTTTTATTTTTTGTAACTTAAAATAAATTCTTTGTAACCCAAAATGGGTTTTATTAGGATTTGCAAAAGTGTTAATCAAGTGCTAACAAAGGTTTCACGAAGTAAAAAGATTGTCGTAATTAACAGTTTTTAAACTCAATCAGCTTTTTTGCAAGAAACCAAAGATGTTGATGTAACATCTTCAAACCCATTTTTCTTTTCTTTTTTTATCTTTGTTCTCTATTTAGCCTCATTTTGTTTACTTTTCCATTAATATAAATCGAATCATCAACCCAAAAGGACTAAAAAAACCGTGTTGTATCGGATGGAGTTCAAAACTTGTCCACATTTTGTTTCAACACTCAAAGTGAAATTTGAAGTTCATGGTTTCTAAATGTCTCGTATACCCAATTCTCGTGAATTTGGTGAAACTCAAAGCAAACAACACCCATCTGGCTATTAGTAAAATGAAAGAACCACTAATCATAATATCCTCATATTATCGTCGTAATTAATAAACTTCAAATCAATTTTACTGAATTTTATGGTTTATGAACCTATGTCGATTTAGTTCTGGTACTGTTTGTTATCGTTACATGGATTATTCTTAAGCATATGATAACAAGGATGAAGGCATAGGAACATAAATACATAATTAGAAATCAATTTAACGTAATAGCATAAAGAGTTCATTAAATATAACATGGAGCACTTGAGTTATTAGTAACGAAACTCATTGAAGCGGAAGTAGTCATTCTCATGTATGGATCAAAGTCTTCTAAAGCTCTATACAGTTTGCTTCAGAATGGGGTTGAACTGAATGCAGATTCGAGTAGGCAATAGGGATTTGATCTTCTTTATTTAGAACATGTACCTTCTCATCAAAATCATTCTTTCAAGTTCATTACACAAAATTTGTTTTTACTTAATTCTAAGGAGTGGTCGGAAATTACTGAATCAGATAGATTACTATATATTTGTTGTTCATATTCAGTCATTTTATTTCAAGCAGGTCTTAAAAGGATAACACAAACAACCTTTAAAAACATCGGATGCACTATAATATACAAAAATGTTATTCTACATTGCTATATACGCTATGTTCCGATATAACGAGTACAATTTCATGCTTCATACACCATCGTGTACAACGACGTATTTTATGGTTCTTATAAAGTCAATTTGATTTTATCATCAAGTTTATTTTCGATATTAAACATTTTCTCCCCTTCTATTTATTATCTTAAACAATAATTTCATGTCAAACTGACCACAGAAATACGTATATGCAAAATTCTACCTTTAAACTAAGATCAGAAGACCTATAAAATCAAGGACATAATGGCATCACAAATGTTAGCAAGAACCGTTGTTTTTTAGGTCCGTTTGGTTTGTCTTTTAGGTACTTTTGGTTCGTATGATTTGGTTGAGTTTGGAGAAATCCATTCCAATCCCCACGTTTTTTATAGAAGAAATCCGCATTTAAAATCCCACAAACACGAAACACTAGATATAGAAGTCTCATAGGATAGTTGCTAGTTCATGGGATTTCATAAATTCGTTTGTAATAATGTTATGGAATATGTTAAAAACATTCGTGTTGTAATAATCAATTAATAAAATGTAATTTAATTATTTTTATAATTTACTTTTATGAATTATCTATATTATAAATCCTACAAACCAAACATGCCAAAAACTTCAAATCCAAATCTCTCGTAAACATTCTGTGAAATCAAACAAAACTCAAGGTAATGCTCAATGAATCCATGTGTGGTGATTAAACCCATACTCACACCTTAACATCAAAGCTGCTTTTTTAACATTTTCAACGTTATGATTTGATCCAAAAATGCAATGGTATCCAAGACAATTTAAGTACACCTCAACTAATTCCATGGCACTTTGAAATCAACCATCATTGCAAACCCTACAATAGCCCTAACAAGACTTGAACTAATGGCGTGCAGAAAACAAACTCCAACTCGAGGTCTTACAGTTAAGCTATCTTGATAGTTGCATACATCGTACCAACAATGTTGGTCTTTTGGTAGTGATGTTGATGACTCTAATGGTTGGATCATGCCGATGGTTGAAAATATTTCTATCTTTGTTTCTCTGTTCGAGAATTTAACTTCAACCATTCCATTTTCATGTCGAATGAAATCTGGAGCCGTGTTTGTTTGTACTGGGGCTTGTTGAATCTGTTCGTAATTAGTCCCTTAAAAACGTGATGACATAACCATTCTAGCTATAAAAAAAACCATTTCCCATAAACAAGAGAAAATCAGAGAACCATAAAACCATTACCATGATTTCAGCATCTACCAATACCAAATTCTGAATCTCATTAAGACAATTTCAGTAAGAAATCTACACCTTAAAAACTTCCTCTTCACTAGTTGTTGACCATACTATTACTATGAGCTAAAAAGAACCAAAAAGACAAAGCTATATTGGCAATTCATGTAACTAAAGAAGAAAACAAAGAAAAATAAACAGATGTTTGTGATCAATACTCATCATCATATGCATCCCCACCATCATAATCATCATACCTATAATCATTCATTCCCTGTTCATCGTCATAGTTCCATTCCTGACCTTCTGTTTCACCATCATCATAGTCCAAATCCTCTTCTTCACCCACATCATTGGTTTCATCGAGTTTCTTGCCCGATTCCGTTTCCTTGGTGTCGCTATCATCGATACGGTTCTTTTTCGGACTCGGCTGTAACAACATGAATAATTTATATGAAACTAAAAGCTTTCACCGAAAAAGATTCCTACCCGTCACAGAAAATTATAACAGTTCATTTTCCAGAAAGTTTTCAAGTCAAATTTACCCATTTGACCATTGATATCATTACAAATAAATCATCGGTACCCATTATGAGGTCCCTCAGAAGAACATTTATTTGCTACCACAATGAATTTTAGCTACTACCATTCTATGTAACGCACCTATAGCTGATGCTTTATCTAATTTAATCGACCTAAATGACTTTTAGTTTTGTCACACGATCAAAGGAACAAATAACTATTGAATCGTGTCTTTATAGTTTGTTGGTTTTAAGCCTTTGATAGAGACTTAATAATCGTTCTACTCTTTTCTTTTGAAAAAATTCGTCAAGCATCGCTTTGCCTAAACCGTGCAAGGGTGATTTCTAAGGCGGTTTTCATTTACTTTATAAAAATAAATCTCACATACGTTTCAAGAAAATCTACCAATAGCAACCTTGTTAAGGTACTTGGTGATAATATATACTTGTAGAGAATGCAGGAGCAATGGTGTGCAGTGATTTCCAAATCAAAACATTGCACCTTTTTTGGGTTTAAATTTGGGCAAAAAGTTGATTACCAGCAACCCCAACCGACCCCACATGGAACCCGCCTCCAAGAACATAGTGAAGAATTATCCGTTCCCTATGGTTTGTTTCGAAAAGGTTTTCGAAGAATCTCTTATTCTTTTCAATCCATTTCTGCAATTTTTCGTAGCACTATAATCCAATATAGCTAACCTATTATGCATGCAAAGGGAAACAGGAAAACAAATAAATGATTTATTTAAGCAAGATAAGAAATCAAGAAAACAACAAATTGCTTACCTCGTCATCAAAGAGATTGTTCAACACATCATAGTTAATCTTTGAACTTAGTTTCTGCAAGAAGACCCAAAAAGACAGTAGAATAAGGATCATTAATATTGTTTTTCTTGGTCAGTTTTCATAAACACACCTTTAGTTTCCTTTTAGTTCTCCATGCCAGAAATTAACAGAGATGTGCTTTCAAAAAGAAGTTTCCACCAGACTGAAAGTTGAGAAAATAGCCACTTTTTAGGATTTTACAGGAATAGCCATGAATTCCGCCAATTCATTTTTTGTTAGTTGGTGGGCGAATCAGCAGAAAAGTCAAATAGGTCAGGTATCCTGAAAATTCAAAAGTTAGCCAATTTTGGGGAAATTTGGCCAAGACATCTCGCAAAATCCACGTATCAACACACAGTTAGTTGGCGAAATCAAAGATGGGCCCACATGTCAGGTTGGCGGAATTCGCCAATAGGCAGATTCACTTTGACGGAATTCATGGCTAATTTTGAAAACCCTTAAAAATAGCTATTTTCTCAATTTTCTTGCCATAAACGGCTAGTTTGGTGGAAACCCCTTTTGAAAATCATAATGAGAGAACAGTTTGAAAGCAGGTTAGAAAGGCATATCCATAAAGGATCCTAGAGTAAACTCTGCGGACAAACCTTCTTTGTGAACAGTTGACTAGCAGCTTCTGCTGCAGTTTGAGCAGGCTTAGCATTCTTCGCCTCCAATGCTCGCTTTCTTTTATCATTCTGGTTTCACAACAAAAACTAAAGCGTGAATACCACGAGAAATGTTAACTAACCATGCATTAACTCCTCTAGCACAAGTTCTATAAATGAGTGTCAAAATTGTCATATCATGTTGTCCAAAGAGGTACTTATAAGAGGCACTATGAATTTCAAGTTCAAACAGAATATCTACTCCTCAACATTTTGATTTAACATTTTTTATGTGAAAAGTGAAGCACAGAAACTTAAATCTCAACCTGCAAAAAGAGATACAAGCTCTAGGGTCAACAGTTAAGCAAACTTAATTCCATACTGAGTAGAAAAAGTATAATATAAAAAAATGGTGCATTTAAACATACGAGCAAGGTAGATAAGTGATCCATGAGCAATAACTTGGTAATACCACTTAACCAAATACCTTAGAAGATATGTTTGATATCAAACACAAGTGTCACAATGTTCTTTCAAAGGACGATAAATGGTATTTTAACCAAGTCCTGGATCCTCCATTTGATGGGAGAAACCCACTTCTGTATACCAATTTATTCCATTTCACTTTTGAATATGAAGCATGCATCACCTCATCCAATTATGCCACATTCCCAAATTCACAAAGCAAGTAAGGTGTGATGGTGCTCAATTCATGTGGGCAGTGCACACTGAAACCAATTTTTACAACTTACGATTGGCTTAAAAAGTAGCAGACAGAGAATCAATGAAACAAGCAAACGAAAATACTCTTTTCCTAACTTTAAGAAATTAGTATATGAGTACAAAAACACCTACCTCTTTTTTGCTTGCAACAAGTTTAGCTGCTGCTGCAGCCATTGCCTGTGCTTCACGTATTTCCTCTGGAGTCCCGGTATAAAGCTTACGTGCAGCTGCTGCTGCAGCTTCCTTAGCAGCTTGCTCCTGGAAAACCGTACTACTTATTTAAAATACAATTACTTAACGCAACAGGCAAAAACCTGAATATTTCATTCCTCTCAACTATTGAAGAGACTAAATTAGTTAATTACCTGCACATATTCTTTGTTCAGTACTTCCCATAAAATCTTCTTATAGTGGCTTTCTTTCGCACTGTTAATGTAGCAATTGACCTACACCACAGAGAACGCATATATATTGATATAAGGCCACTATGACAAAAGTATACTCCACTGCCATTCTACATATGATTTTGTTCAAAATGATAGATACTCATACAAGTCTACTTACGATTTTGAGAAACTAAACTTAGGGGGTGATTTACTGAACACTTTCTGGGTAGGCGATTACTGGTTATTGCTTACCTTACCGATTGAGCATGGAAAGAATCAAGAATCTACCTGGTAAGAGGCATAGCAAGGACCGAGAGTCTTACCTGGTCAGTGAGGGAAAACACTCTTACCTGGTAAGCACTCACCGGGTTTAAGACGCTTACCAACAATCCATTTAGATAGCCAAGAATGTTACACGATAAGGTAAGTGAGGGTGATGTCTCTTGCCAGTAAGCGCTTACCTGGTAGGCGGTAAGCGTTTGGTAAACGGTCCCTTAGTACTTACATGAAATGAAAGTATTTATACAAGAAGAAAATAGTGAAGGAACTTCACTGGAACTTGATGACTTCTTTATGATATCAACAGAAGATTTGTAAATAGAGCAAGTATCAGGAGGAGAAGGAAACATAACTAAGATACCAACAGAAGGTTTTTACTGATGGCTTTAAAGATAAAGGCAGAAGGTAGGCCCTTTCACCAATGAACATGAAAGCATGTGATGGCACGACACATGATTTCTCAATTATTATAGGGTTACACTTCCAGCACCTAAGGTTAGCATTAACTCATTTTCTTTGCATTCTAGTAATGGATGAGTTAATAAAAGACAAATAAGATAATATACCACATACGTGCTTCTGTCGATTATATCATATCCACGGATGAGATTGTGAACAGTTATATATGCCAATGTTTGAGATGTTTATGTGGCCAAACAATGAGGGATTGAACGAGAAATGATTAAATGCAGGAAAAGGTTAGGATGACACCGACTAGGGGAAGCTAATTCAATATCGCCATGTGTGATCTAGCACAAACAAATTCACTAAGAAAAGAGCATGGAGAAGTTACGGTACAAACAAATATGGTTTACCATTTTTTAACAAATAAAAGAAGATTATAGGTTTCAGTGTAATGGTACTTACCTACGAAATTTCATCTACATGTGTGATATTGTGTCTTAATTCTTTTTGTCATCATTCATACTTTTGGCTAGCATTCTTTGAGAACAGAGGAAAGAAAAATATAGTCCCTCCCATAAAAATTACAGCTTCCATTGCATACCAAATGTCTTGGATACCTTTCACTTAATGACAAAATATGCAGAACTTGTGACCAAAATCAATACCAATATACCATCAATTCTTTGTAATGATGACAATTCGGATAGAGTAGTTTTAGATTAGAACCTCCCAAATAAAAACCGTTGCACTCTTCCTCAGACATCCCAGAAAGGAAAGTACTGCAACTCTCATCGATTAGGAATGGTTTTACACGTGCTCTACAGTCGGAATACAAACATGGTCATGGGGACGCTACTTATTTTAAATACATGAAGAGGGACTTTAAACTGCAAGTATATACACATAGGCGGTATCAAAACGTCCTGATTATGGTGGTCAGTGACACAAGAGTTGCTACTTTCTGACGTGACGGTTAGGGGTCAATTAATGAAAACAATCTAATAGCAAACCGGAATAGAGCAGTTACTAAAAAAGACTACCCTCCCATCCCAGTGCTCATAGAAGTCGCAGAACCATGGTGCACTATAGTCACAAAAAATAGTACTTCCACCTTGACATACCCGATAGTATACCAAAATCAGCCTACCCTTATGTAAAGGCAAAATAAGTGGATCTTGTGAATCAATTCAATACCATCAATTCTTTATAACAATGACGGTGGGGAAAGAGTAATTTTCTACTAAAACATACACAAACATAAGGGCTGCACTCTTCCTGGGACATCTAAATGTGTTCAACACAAGTCTTCTATAGTTGCGTCGTCATTTTAGAAGTCTTTCCTATTGCCTCTCTTGATAGGAGGAAAATGCTAAGCTGAACAAGGATAAATTTGTCGCTAACACTAGCTAGAAGACAAACATGGTCCATGAGAAAGCTATATATTTTTTAATACATGAAAAGGAAACCTTCATTGCACATATATATTATATACATAGATGGTACCAAAACATAAGCTATTTATTTCTGAATACATGAAAGGGAAACCTTCATTGCACATATATATATATTATATATTATATATACACACACATAGATAATACCAAAACATACTAAAGTAAGTTAGGGGTTGACTCATAGAAACAATCTTTTCGCAAATTCAAGAGAAAAAGTTATCACAAAGACTACCCTCCCAATGCTCATAAAAGCTGAGCCATAGTGAACCACAGTCACCGGCTATAGCACTCACATACCCAATAGTATACCAAAATCAGCTTACTTTCCATGAATTATATATTTGTTTAATCTAATAGAGGGGTTGCAGCCAAGTTAATGCTCCAAGTGGAAGAGAAAAAAGTGGCATACCATATACCCATAGCCATACAACAAAACAAGGTGTATTATGAACTACCCAATTAGGCCATTGTATTAGAAGTGTAGTCAATAGTGCATGGAAGAATGTTATTCGTGTTATGAAGGCCCTCAGTGGTTCACCACAGTTGTTTCACCTCCTTATAAGTTCTAGCAGTTCAGGTTTTAGCCTACCCAAACTCATGACAAGGTTTGTTTTTATACAATTACGAATTTCAATCAGTAACCAAAATACTTGTCAATTTCAAAGTCAAAGAGTAACTCATTTGACATTTTTTAAAGTCAAACATGTAATCCTCTTTCAAGCCAATGGAAGTATATTAGTTCAACTTCTTAGTAACATGTTAGAATTCTCTACCCTACAATCTAATGTGTAAGCAAGAACTTCCAATTCAAGGTTTCAACTTAAGATACGTCATCATAGGACATGTTAAGCCAATATTTAAGAACAAAACTTCTTGCTCCTTTTTGCTTGTAGATTAGTATTGGTTATTACCCTCAATTTTAAAGAGAGTAAATCCTACCAAATAATGCACATGAAGACTGCTCAACCAAAAACTTGCTTACACAATTGGAACTTCTCAAAGCAATACTAGAACATCTTCCACCCAAGGGCCAATAAGAAGATATGAGAAAAGATTAAAACAAAAATAGACATCTCACAAGTACTCTTGCACCATAAGGATATTGAATGTGAGAATTTAAAGGTCAATAGTTTCACGCACCTCAGAATCATCAATATCAGAAAGGGTGTCTGTTTCATCAATGGTATCAGGGACGTCCTCTAAGCGTTCGGAAGTATCCACAGTGTCACTAATTTTGTCGAGCTTTTCAGGGGTAGAAGCTGATAAGGTTTATGTCAAAGAAACACAGCAACATAAGGTAAGAACATGAGAACCTCAACTGAAACAAAAAGAAAAGAAAAGGAATACAACTTACAAGTACATTGGACCTCTGTTACTTTCAGATTCTCTATGGGTTGAATGTTACGCCGAGTTCCCTACAGATATGAATAAGTTAACACCTCATTGCACGCTAAGCATTGTAACCATAATCAATACTTCAAAAAGTACATATAATATATACAGTGGTTTTAAACAGTTATATGGTATAAGGAACCAAATCTCCTTAAATTAGAGTTATGTGATAATAAATATTATACAAGGATAGCCAGTCACAAAATTTCATCGACTCTAAGGGTGTGTTTTGTACGCGGAACTAGACGGGCAAGAGTGTAGAAATAATTTTGGAAGGTTTTAGGGTTGTAATTTGAAAAGGGCAGTTTAGTCATTTACCGATCTTGTTTGATCTTCATGATTTTTGTTCCACCTGTTTTGGTGGGACAAGAAAAGCATTTTTGTTCCGCTCAGGTCTTGTCTTGTCCCAGTCTAATGCCATGCCAAACATGGAACAAGTTTTTGTCCAATCCTATCCTGTGTACCAAAGGCACCCTGCGGGAAGTCCTGACATGGAGTCATATTGCTTACTCCATATCACATGAATGCATTAATCACCCAGACTTCCATAGCCTGTTAAGGTGGTTCATAAAGAACTTTCATTAGTCCTCGTTGATCTGTCCTAGTGTGAGGTGTGGATGTAATCCATATATGTGAGGTTTCGGGTTTGTGCCCAGGCACCACCCCTCTGTCATTTGGGATGCATGCACGATTTACCTTCCCCATGATGACCGTGGAGAGGTGCGGTGGGGGCTTTCCAGAGGGTGGCGAATACCCTTAAAATACTTTCATCACCATAAAACTGAGACATTTTTGTAAAGGAAATGAATGAATAAGAGTGTAACAGAAGTCAAAGTGTCCTAATGGCTTTCCATACATTTTCAATATCATTTGTTTTTTGGTGGGCCTCTAGGCCGTGTGTTGACTTTGTAGACATCTGCACAGATTCCTTGGCTAATCTTTCCATTTCGGCACGCTGAAATGATGGAGGTTCAGAACCATCAAGTCCTCCACAGAAATCCATATAACATTTTCTGCAAAGGCCAAAACCAGATTGAACTGCATTGCTCTTGTGCTGGCAGACCACTTCTGTCAATCCAGGCATCTTTACGTCCTTGACAGATTGTTTGCAAGACCGCATTTCCTTCTCAAACTCCAAAGCGTTCTCAGTGAACTCTTCAATCTAGTCAAGAATTTAAATTACATAAGAATATCACCAAAAAGAAGTAAGAAAACTACAAGGAAAAGAAAGCTCAGCAAGCTATAAATCCTTTGAACCAACATAAGTTATTAAAGTACATAGTATATACTATAGCATTAGAGTGTAACTTCTTATATCAGCACTCAACAAGATTAACAACCTCCAAAAATAGATGCAACAACTAGAATGGTCGAGCAAACTTTAGCTTACGTTGTGACATCCATGGGACCAGGGCAAAAAAGCAAACAGGATCCACAATTGACATTATAAATGGAAAACACTAAAACAGGATGTCGGGAAGTGTCTATACGCATAGTCCACACATGGAAGGACCGAAGACATGTTATTTTATCAATATTGATTTGACGTATATATCATCAACATAGAATTTTCCGAAGTGATATAACCAGATCGTCACAATTCTCCAAGTTCACTAAAAACAAGTTTTAACCACCTATTGAGGAATTCAAGTAGAGATTCAAGATTTTGAGCAGAAATTATATACAGACATAGAGTGATTTCATATATTTCTTCATACGAAAGAGGGGTGTGACTCCCCTTTGTTGAACTCGCAAATTGGAGTGATTTGGCCGCACCCTGAATTTTTAACCATGAATACAAGGGGATTCAGGATTGTGACGTGGGTAAGGGAGTTGCCATGTTGGTGATTTTCAATAGAAGTGATCGGGAGGAAATTAGGGCTCAAATTGCGAATAACAACTCAGCGTACTTACATATCATTTTATGAAGTACTATGTCTAAGAGAGAAAATATACGAGAGGTGAAGTCGATGAGAAAGAGAGTAAGATGAGATGGATCTTTCTTCAACTTGTTTCTCTTGCTTTCCCCTTTCCAATGTTTCCGCTTTATCTCTCTTTTCTCTCCTTGTTTTCTTTGCTTGACACATATCATGTGGTATATACAATTTCTGAAAATGGTATATCGTTAACATGCAATTAATATGCACATAACAATGGTTAATATTTGTTATTAACTACTAATTGATTTCCGAAGATAATAATATTTGTGACTGCTGCAACAACAATCACGGGATAAGTATTTTTGTTATGATTACACTATTGTATTTGTGGTATACACCTTCATATTTTTCCTCCTGTACTCTGTAGTTCACTGGGCCCGTCTTTTGCTCCCAGAGGTGCTGGTTCAAATCCAGCTAGATATCTTATTTTTTGTCTCTTTGTGGTTCTCCTTCACACTTTAAGAGTGATACCTTGGTGACCAGCCTGTAATTGTTGTAGAACTGTTGACTCGTTCATCTCATTCAAAACGAACAGTTTAAAGATGGCAATATTTGGGTATAACAGTGAGAAATGGTAGTAATGTCTTCAACAAGTGTACTACAGCATCAAGTGCAAAAACTTTAGATGCTGAGAAAGAGTGCAAAACTTTATTATTCCGGGTTGTTTAGATTGAAGGCGCACTTGTTAAAATCCTACTTGATTGTTTCCATCTTTGACTTACCCCCTATGTCCTAAAACAAAAGCACAAATTCCTTTTTGTGTCTCCCAATATAAATGCAACATTTCCTTTTTGGGTATGTTTTCTATATAAAGTTACTTTTTTCCATGCTAGTAGTCATTGCAAGATATCGGTAACACTGATTTTGGCCAACAAAATATCCCTAATTTTGTCCTTATTTAGTGGCATTTAAGATATTTGACCAATAGTCAAACACACTATGAGCCAAGTCAAATGTTGCATTTAATATTTGGTTTTAGGATTCTCATGTAATATGTGTTTCAAATGTGTTCTTAATCTAAATTAATCATGATGTATAATTTGTAAATACATATAGACCTGGTAACCCAATTCCCAATTTTTCAAAATGCTAGTTTCCTTTAAGCACATCTAAAGACCTGGAAACCATATCCCCAATTTTGAATGATAGTCGATTTCCTTTAAGCACATCTCATGTACCCTTATCCTTAAATAAACCAAGTCAATTAACATATACTAAAGACCAGCCAATCCCTTGATAGGCAAATTATTAAGGGGGGATCAAACAAATGTCATAATTGGTAATCCTGAAAGGCATCTTGATGATCATATGAAAGAAGCTAAAGAAGCAAAATCGATAATTGAGCAAAAGAGCTACACGAGAATCCTATCAGAAATTATCAGAGGATAACTAATACAAATGGAGAGCAATTTAAGAACGAAATTTCCTTATTTACCATCAAGGTAACTAGACAGGATAGCGGTGGAGACCGAAGGAAACATGGAAAGATATGGTCCAAGCGAATCAAGCAAAACAAGAATCTAGTACGAATGATATAAACATCGACAAAAATCAAAGAATAATGAGGAAACAGAAGCAAATGAACTTTATGAATAATCAATGACTTTAAAAAAGAAACTGATCTACGAATGATGACATGCACAAGATGAACCAATTCTGCAGATATGTGTGTGTGTGTGTGAATTTTCTTTAGAAGTAGTAATAAAACTCACCGTCAAACTCCCAGCTTTTGTATTCTCAAACTCAATCAATCGCTTTGTCAATGTTGCTTCACATATGTGTACAGCTTTAACCTGAAAATAGAGAAGGAAATTTCAGAATTTGAATTATGAGGCTAAAGAGATGTTTGAGTTTTACATGTAAAGAAAATATAAAGTCAATGTACAAGGATCTGTCCAACGCCCGTAATCCACGAAACAAAAAGTAGCTAAAGAAAATTGCAACTATGTTTGCCACAAAAAAAATACCCATTACAAAAAAAAACTTGCAATCATAAATAAGTTGCTGTCATGAAAAAAGTTTAAAAAAGTTATACGTACAACATCTGCTCTTGAAAAATTATACCCATGCAACACAGAAGAAACGTATATAGCTGCAGCACATATCCCACTAGGTTTTCTGCCAGTCTGTAATAAAAATCATAAATAAGTTGCCATCATGAAACATGTACAAGTTATTGAATAAGCCCAGAAAATAAGCTATTATCAAATGTTAGGAAAAAGATCAAACCTGCATCCAGTCTCTCTTCATGCTAACTGCAAGGTGCAATGCAGTGTTCAAAACTTTCTTATTACCATCCCCTTTGATTAATCCTAAAACACAAAAATAATCAGGTATTAGAAACAGGATCAACCATAGAAATACAGATACTCGCCAAAAAGCTCCAACAAGCATACTTGTGCTGGAAACAGATGGTTGATGGATGGCTTTCAAAAATCAAATTTAGTACAAATAGATTAGTGACTCTTGTAGGTTTATAATATATTCACAATTGATAAGAAAGCAATAGTATCAAAGATCCAAAAATAAGATTAAAAAAGACGAGATATTCGCAAATGCTCCCGCAAAAGTACAACGAAGCAGACGAAAAATCTGAGCACCCAAAATAGATAAGAATGACAAGATATTGCAAAACAACGTGAGATTATGAATAGCCAACAACTAGATTCTCCATGTAAGATGAAAATCAACAGTGCCAAAGTCTAGTGAATGGAATCATGTCAATAATGAAAGCAGCTGAACAAACTGCATAAGTATTTTGAGATGAAGTAGGACCAAGATGAAATCCTACAATGTACTGAAGATGTTGCAACTATGTTTGGGCATGAGAAAACTTCCCATTTTTTATGTCATTTTCCTCCTTTCTCCATTCTCCATGTTGTAGGTCTCATATCAGTTTCTCCTCTATCATGTAAATGAAACCCACAATCACATCTATATTACGCCTCGCACCATGTTAACAATTCCACAAATTGGAAATGTTCAAGGATCAAAATGGATATAAACCGCATGGAAGAACTTGGAGATGCAAGATTATGTAGCAGACTAAGAGTGGGAATCTATAGCTAGCCAGATGGCAGGAAGGGGACTGGAGTGGTAGAGGATGGGGGTAGGATTAGTGAGCCGGCAGTTAGACCTCCTGAATCCTACGTTAAACTAGAGGTGTGTAGTCCTTCCTGCATTCATTCTGTTTCCTTGTACCTGCTTCCATTTGATGTTTGAATATTGTTGCTTACATCTAACTCGTTTTTCAAATTTTAACACTGTCTTTCCTGTTTTCAAGTTCTTCTATTTCGAATGCTCTTTTTTCCACAATTTTTTTAGCAAACTTTATCCTTTTTATTCACACGCTTTGCACAGGCCAGGGCTCTTCATGGACACAGACATAGATCTGTGCTACTCTTTGGAGTAGAGATCAGGGCCGCGTACATCTCACCTCTAGGCCCCACCTCCGAATGGGATATATTGGGTTTGTTTGGTTTGATTTGGTTTGGTTTGGTTTGGTTTGGTTTGGTTCAGTTTTGCTTATTATTTACACCATTAATTTATGTCACAAAGAAGTGAGAGATTAAGCGAGTGGTTTGCAGATGACTAAGGTGCCAACAAGAGGTAAATAGGTGTCAACCTCAAAAGCTTGGTGTTCATAAAGGTTAAAACGGTAAAAGTAAAATCAATATCATTTTCAAAAACTACCCCCCATACTTTTAAGAGAAAAGGACCACAAAACAAACAATAGAACAACAATGGCAAGTGTAACCAACAGGGACCAGCAATGAGATTTCACCCTCAATTGTAACAATCACTACAACAGCAGCACACCAACAGAAAGTTGAATAAAATTCTTCTCAACAACCTACATCGGTAAAAGTTAATACCATCTAGCCTCTTCAGAAAAATGTAACAGAAAGATGACTATTTTAGCTAATGGCATAAAAGTCGAGCAATTTCCATAGGATTCTTGAGATAAAGATGACAATCAACTCTTACCACTTGTATATCTATGCATAAAAAGGCTAGGATCAACTGGTTTTTGAACAAAAGGATGATCCTGGAGGCTTAACAACTTGCAAAGCTGTAAATACACAGTGCCCAACTCGTAGCTGAAAAATATAAATTAAAAGCGCATCAGATTACTATGATAACGAAAAATCCGGCAGATATTTAATAAATAAGAAAAGTGGGCCCTTACACACTAACACCCAATTCACTGGAAAATTCAATAAGCAGAAAAGGTTTCTCTTTTTCCCTGTATAACATAATAAACCATCAATCAATCAGTAACCTCATCAGCTAGTCACATGCAAGACAGTCGATGGATTTATCATAAAAGAAGAAAAAAGGATGGTCAATGCTCTATGGAGAATATCGATATAATGGGCAACGCTTAATAGCAATATCACACAATTGGAAAGTGCATATATTGTGAAACCATCACAGCCAAACAAAATGTGTAGTAATAGATTCAGATGGAAAAGAGTGCCACGTCTACAAGCATGCTTTTTCATCAGCCATGATGTATTACAAGCCCAGGGCAAAGAACTTTTGTGTGAAACACCCATTGGATACAGTATACAAAACCGAAAAATGTGAAATTATACATAACTTTAAACAGGAAATATTACTTGAATTATCATTAAATAATTTAAAGCTCTTCCCAAAAGAAAATCATTATAACCAAGTTTCGAAGTTTACACTTACTTGGTATCATATCATATGACCTTCAATTAGAATTTTCAATAACTGACAACAAAAAATAGCAAGGTAAAGAGCAGATTGTCACAGCTGTAGATGGATCCTTTTTGCAATTAAACCGTGATGATTCTAACTTTTTTGAGCAATTTAATCACTATGTTCAATATCAGTACACAGTTCTTCCATTTTGAAATCACAAAATGTGTTTATTTTTTGGGAGAAGGGGTGATATCACTGGATCAAAGTAAAGATGAAGAATAATTGTCTCTTCCTTTTATATACTTTTCCTATTTAGTTTGTTGTAACAAATTGAAATTTGGGGAAAAACCTAGGATCAAAAAGGGAAAAAAACCAGCTTGAACCTTTTCTTTATCAATAACTAGTAAAAACTCAAAAATATTCTACTTACATAAGAAAATAAAAATAAATGCACCTTCTTGAAATAAATGATGCATGCCCTCTTTCTTTATGTGCAAAGAAGGGAACATGTTTTATTAAGTTAGGCATCTTCTATTCTTCTTAAGCATAAAAAGGCAGAATACAAAATTAGAAACATGTCAAGACTTCATTTTTGTTGGTTTTTTAAGACAAATACCAAAATAAATGGTGACATTGCAGATGTTAACAAACACAATGGTTAAATATGTTTTTACAATTATGAACATGATATTGTGATCACAAAACACTGACCGGCAGGCAACATAGAGGCAAGCAGCTGCAACTTGGCCTGTTCTACGTCCTTTTGTAAAACCACGCTCAACAGCTATCTATAATTATGAAAGAATAAAAAATTACCATTCTCAATAAGCATATGCCAGGCATTTTATTTATTTTTTGATATTTTATTTTGCAGATTTAAGTCTGAAATATACAGAAAGCACAAACCTGATAATATTTTGTAGCATGCGACACATTACTGATCCCATATTTGTCTATCAGCTCATAAATTACTACATTCCCTGCAACATAAGAAAAATAGAACAAAAACTCATAAGCTTTTTGTGGAATTGATGGCAAATGGACAAATAAATGGTTCGCGAAACTCTGCTTGGTAAACGGGTCGATTATTCAGGTGCTATGTTGGATTTGAATCAGATTTCGGATCAATCTATATTGATTGACTGCCCTTCCTAAATTATCATATCTAGTAGCAAAGCAATGGTATCGATCAATCAAATCAATAATATCAATTCTTTGTGATAACAACGATTGGTAAATAAGTAAATTTAGCTTGAAATATTGTCAGAAAAGAATGTCGCAATTTTCATGGGACATCCTAAAATGGAACTTGTCTTTACTTTCGTTAGACATAGGGAGCCTACTTTAGGGTAATCACTTTAGCATTCCAAATATCTATTGCAGTGTAGAACATTTAAACAAAATATGGAGCCAATTTCTCATATAAATCTATACTTTTTTCACTCCAAAATACGTTACAGTTGCAATTAAATATTAAGATTCTATCAAGATGAATTTTTAACTCAAAAAGTTAACAAAAGAAATGCGATACCGTTTCATGTGACATCTCTAAACAAACATTGTTGAAACTTGGGTTGGAATATGAAGTAATATAGAATCACGACCACAATGTACCTTTCTCCAAGGTTCTTCTATGTGACTCAGCACAAGCATTTTCCATTCTTACAAGGTTGCCTGCAAGATGAGCCTGCTCTTACATAAAAAACAGACAGACTGATAAGAGAAAGATGCTATGCAATCTATAGATTTGTACAAAAAACAAATAAACGATGTTCCACAACCTACCCCTCCAGCTGAATCTTTAACAAAAGTGGCATCCTCAGTGTATATATCTTGAGATACCACTTTACCACAATCAACGCAACATCTGAAAGTAAAACAACGACACATAAATTGAGTAGGAATTTAAATTTTTGAACAGAAAATGAGGATTTATGCCGCAAACCTAGTGACAAAAGTCATCTGTAGGCTGTTAATTCAAATGATAGGGAAAAAATGATAAAGCTTACTAAACAAATAGTCAAATACTTACACACTGCCTGTCGTATAATCGCGATGTGTCTCGCTATTTTTTGCACAATGAGGACACCAAACCATCTCTTTGCCTGAGAATTATCTATGACCAAGCTAAAACAACATCAGTACATAGAGCCAAAGTATTATAAGAAGAATTACATAACTAATCCCTCAACCATTCGATAAGAGCGACGATATTTGTCCTCTCGGAACCATTTGACAAAACTTTTACATCCGGATTAGACAATTGAAAAACTATTTTAGTTACCTTTATTTTAATCTTTATTTAAACCATAAACCAAACCATATAAGTTCATTGGTTTGGTTTTTAAAAATTATGTGGTTCAATTTGGTTCAAAAAGAAAAGTAACAGTTAGGGACGATCGGCTTGATGCCAAAAGAAATCAAATCAAAACATACATACCCTACTTATTTGTGACACATTGTTTTCTAGCTTTCGTATAGTCTTATTGATAGGTAAAAAGAATATTACCAGTGAAAAACACATCATATATTGAACAACTACCTTACAAAGTCTCACCGTTTAAATTGAAAATTCAGATTATTAAAACTTTCATTTTGCTTTCACAAAGAAATAGGAAACTGTCACCTTCGGACCTTCCTAACTTAAATGTAACTACTAAAACAGAGCTTCCAAGCAGGAGATGAGCAAAAAGGGGTTGCTTTCAGGTTGAAGTCAACTATGTTGTTAATAGCGGTGCAATAGTAGTTCCCGGTCCTGGAAGGAATTGTGGTGGTTAAATTGCAGTCCTAAATGGCGGTGTGATCACCGCTAAATGGCCATTTTTACACAGTCCGCATAACCGCTATTTATGGTTGGGCTTTTTGTTGTCTAACCAGCTTATATTGGACCTATTTAATGATTTGGCCTTTTACTTTGGACTTGGACTTGTTTCAATGATTCAAATCATTTAGTCGATCTATTTATCTTTACATGTCAACGATTATAAGTTTTAGCTTTTCAACATCATCGAGCATTCAACCACGTTTCCTAAATCCTTCCACTATCATTCCAAGTGTATTAGTGAAGTTCTTTTTTGGGACTATTAATCTATTAGTGAATTTCTTTTTTATATTAATTACACATAATATGCTAAGTTACTTATACTTTATGATATATATACACACACATATATATATATATATAATTCTAAATATTTATATTACCCGCTATTTTTGGACCGCTTTACCACTATTTTAAATCACATTAGTGACCACGATTTGGTATTTTGACCGCTGTAACAGCATTGGTTGAAGACGAGTGATGAGCTCTGGTTTTCCGAAAGCAAAACACTTCGAACGTTGTTTTCAATGAACGTGTGCAACTGCTGTTAAGGGTTATATTATTTGATTGGGTTGGGTCTAGGCAGATACACGGACCAAACTGCCTCTCAGAGGTTCCCTTTTTTTCTAGGATAGAACCAAACAGCCATGACCTACGATTGAACCGAACACAGCAAACTGAGCTCAATTCGCTACTGTGGTTTAAAATATAAATAAGATCCTACTGATTTCAAAAAGAAAGAATTCCAAGTCACCAAGTGATAGAAAACCCTTCACTCTAATAAAATTTATGGGCAATATTTCAATAACTGCAGGATTTTATTCATGTAACTGTGTATAATGTACAATTACTTGGTTTTTGTATATGAAAAACCAGTAGGTATTCCATCACTCTCCCTGAACAAGAAGTTGGATTTAAACTATTCTTATTGAAAAAATTATAAATAGCATTCGTTTGCGAACATTGACAGGAAGGACTGGCATGTTGGATTCCCTTTTCAGTTCTTTGGGTCTACATTTTTTTAATGCGAACCCTGAAGCATCAAATTTTCAGTTCCAATTGTGATAACTCTGAAGCATCAAATTTTCAGTTCCAATTGTGATAAAAGGAAAAAAGAAAATGGTCTATTCATGACACAAACATCAAAACACTACCAACAGAAACAGAAAAAAGAGTGGAAAGAGTTGGATGAACCGCTACAGTTAAGAAGTAATCAAACAATAGATGAAGGGTTAAAACTTACCACGATCGCTGAATAATAGGGTTAATGAGGATAGAAGAGAAGAATCGATGGAAGAACAGAGATTGAATGTCGATAACTCAGTTGCGGAGGAGCCGCCAAAGGCCAGAAAGCGAGGCAGTGGCCAGCGACAAACCACCGATTCAACGGAGCAGAGCAGAAGCAGCGAGCGTCTGAGGCCGCAAAGAACCAAAAATAAAGGGAAAATGCTGCCATAAATAAATACATAAATTAATTAAAATATTCCATGATTTCATAGCAATTTCTTTATAAATTTTATCAAAGTGGTCTTAAATTCACAATTTTAAAAAACCATGGGTGACATATGAAAAATATAAGTACAAAAAATATTTAATATATTATTTTTATTATTAAAAATAACATTGATTTAAAAAAATATTAATAATTCATATAAATTGTTTTTCTAATATTCCTAGACACAAAATCAATCAATAATTATTGTTAAATTGATATTATCTACCATATCAATTACATAACATTATAATCCGTTTCAACGTCAAAAACATCTTATGATATGTCTATATTATATTATAAATCATTTGACAAAAACTTCTAAAAAACTATTTTTTATGTATGAAGTATTGTTTATTGATACATTTTTTATTACAAATAAATTGTGCATGAAGTAAAACTTATTAAGGCTCTATGTTTGAATTCGAGTAACTAACTGCAAATAAACATACTCAAATACATGATAAATATCTCATTTTTAAATATACAAAATTTGAAATATAATTAGGGTAATTATTGAGTGCTAACATCATATTTCAGGGATGTTTGGGATTGCTTATTTAAAACAACTTACGTTTTTTTATAAAAGTGTTTATCAACTTATGTGGTTGCAAACCGGAGTTTTATAAAAAATGTTTGGACTAGCTTATGGCAGTACCACATCAGATAAGCTGATAAAATAGATGTGATACACTTTTTTTTCATTCCAAACACTAAAAACTCTTTATTATCAGTATCGTACCAGAATAATTTAAATAAGTTAGAAGAGAGTAACTTATCAAAAACTTCTTATTACCGGTGCCAACCCGGTATAAGTATTTCTTTTTCTTTCTCTCCATCCAAACACTAAAAAAACTCCTTATTACTTGCACCACATCAGAATAAGTTAATAAACATCTTAATTATTATTTTTATAAAAAATATATATTATTAAATATAAAATAAATTATTCGTTATTAAATCTAAATTAAATTATAATAGAAAAAATCAAAGAAATTACACAAAGAAAAACATGAGAACTTTTAAATAGTTAATTTGATATTGATATTGATATATTCTTTTTTTCAATTTTTTATGATATTTTCAAATTTATATTCTATTCATAATAAAAAATTGTCGTTTTCTCAAAACAACATAAAACCATATTATATCGACAGAGTCAAAAAATAAAATGAAACATTACAATCGAGATGTATCTTGCTGTATTGAGCGAGTACCTTTCTAGTACCTTTAATATACATACATACATACATACATACATACATACATACATACATACATACATACATACATACATACATACATACATACATATTAACATCCTTTGGGGTCACAGTGTTGACTATTTTAGGTAACACTCTATGTAAATCAGTATAAATCAGTTGGGTTTCCATCCTATCTCACTACATATTAAAGTTCATCATCATCGTTTTAAACTTTTAAAGTTAAAATAAACTCTTTCTTAATATGTTACAATGATAGAATTTCATTTGGAGATGAATGTTATGTTTTTTCAGTTTAAAGCACAATAGATTCAGACAATCTTTTTAAACCACCCTTTTGGTTTTGTTTATAGTTTGGGGGATTAAACTGTCCAAACCGGACCGCAAACATCTCTAGTTGCATGGTGACGAAATTTTTTTGCAACAAATATGCAAGTAAATTATGATTAAACATAATTCTTATGTGTCTCGTGTGCTAGCCATGTGAAGAGCATTTTGCAGGGATGGACCCAAAAAAAATTTCATACGGTAGCACCATATAATTAATATAATATAATATACATCTATAAATAATTACAAAAAAATATGGTTTTTATAATACCGATAAACAACTCCTAAACTTGTACCCGACGCGTCTTCATCTTTTGAAAACGGTCAATATATACCCAAAATAATTACAAAAAGTATGGTTTTTATAGAATTGAGAAACAACTCCTAAATTTGTCATCGGCGTGTCTTCATCTTTTCGAAACGATCGATAACATCTTCGTTTTTAACATTACTAAGAGCTTCATTTTCTATGGCGCAAATGAGGGCATAATTCAAAAGATCATCACCAATTCGATTACATAAATCTGTCTTGACAAGCTTCATCGCCGAAAAGCATCTTTCAACCGTAGCAGTTGCAACAGGTAAAACCAGTGTTAGTTTCAATAACCGATAGACTAAAGGATGAGAATAATCATTTCCTTGTCTGACATCATTATAAACAGAATTATAGTAGATATCAAGTTCGTGCTCAAGAATAATCATTTCCTTGTCTTCAAAATATCGGGGATACATCTGACTCAACTTCAATAGGCTTGATTTGTTAAACTGAGAAAACGAATTGCGTGGATTCAAAGCTGCCATATTTTGAAGCAAGTCGGTGCTTATCTCACCAAAACGATCACCAAACTCTCGGATCTGAATATCCAAAACAGTGTTGAATATATCATAGTTATAATAATGTTGATTGGTAATGTTCATCCTTTTCCTTGAATTTCTTGTATTAACATAAGCTTCAGCCATATCCAACTTCACAATCTTATGTTTATCACATAAAGAGTAGCATTTCTCCAAAACTTGATCAAATCCATTTTCCCTCAACATTTGTAATTGACCTTTGGTTGTTCCTATCAAATCAATAGCTTCCAAGATGTCTTCATCTTTCCTTTAAAGACATTGAGACAATGAATTTGTTAATTCGAAGATCGTTGATATCAAGTGCATATAAAACACAAATTCAAATGTCTTTAAGTATAAAAAGATCTCTTGCTTGAAGCCAACTAGCTCCATTATCACCATCATCTTCGACATATTCAAACACCTGTATAACCTCTGGAAACAAAGCAATCAAACTCACGGTTGTTTTAAGATGAGAATTCCATCGTGTATCTCCAGCTCGGACGAGGGAAATCTCTTGGTTTAACCCCTTCTCAGTCTCAATTTCGTTATTTCCAATTTCTTCTTGAATTCTCTCTTTGTGACTTTCTCGTAGCATATTTTTTCGTTCGCAATAAGAGTTTACAACAGTAACAACCAACGCAAGCAAATCAAAGAAGTCCTTAATACCTTCGTGTTTTTTTGCAACCGCCACAACTACTAACTGAAGTTGATGAGTAAAACAATATATACAAAATGTCGAGTCATTATCACTCAAAATCAAAGCTTTCAACCCATTGAACTTACCACTCATGTTGCTAGCACCATCATAACCTTGTCCTCTAACCTACTTTAAAGATAAATTAAGCTATTTAGCCAAATATTCAATGATATAATTAAGACTTAAAGCAAATGAATTATTAAGAAACCTTTTTACCTTTGTGAAACTCAATCCATGTTTTGCAAATAAAGCATCCAGGGCAAATTTAAGACTTACAGCAGATGTATCCATGGCATGAACAATGCCGACAAATCTTTCTTAAACAACTCCAACTTTGTCAACAAACCTCAAAACCACGGCCATTTGTTCTTTTCTAGAGACATCACTAGACTCATCCACCAACAAAGCAAACACATCATCACCAATGTCCCCAATAACGCCTTTCAACACCTCTTCTGCAAAGCAAGTAACAAGATCTTTTTGAATCTTTGGAGATGTCAATTGATTGTTCTTCGGGGCATTTTGTAATATAACCTTTTCAATCTCCCCATTTGTTCTTCCGATTAACTTTAAAGTCCCCAAGAAAAGCCCTTTGTACATAAACTTTTCCGACTCATTGTTGCCACGAAATGGTAAAGCATTCTCCAACAAATATCCGCAAACTTCAATGGAAGCATTCAATCGCATGTGGTACTCGGTCTTCATGAGTTCTGTTTGTTTACGAAGGGCAACATCAATTGATTGGTTTTGGTTAACCAAATCTTCACATTTTTTAAGTGCTTTATGGTGAAAACCATTAACCTCACCCTCATGAAGCGTAAGTCTATCTTTTTTACTCCAACTATTGAATCCCTCCGCCACAAATGCATCTATCCCATGATTCCCACCTTGGTTTCTAAACAAGTAACAAGGCAAACAATATGCTCTATCTACTTTTACACTGTATTCCAACCACTGAAATTGATCAAACCAAGTAACAACAAACCGTCTTCCTTTAGCCCCTATAACTTTGGTTGGAAAAATGTGACCTCGTGGTTGACAAGGACCCCTTACCAAGTATTTCCATCTAATTTCGTCTCTTTGATTTGGGTTATAATTTATAATTTTTGGTCTCTCTGATGGATCCCAAGGAAGATCGTTAATATCAATCACATTGTTGGATGCATCATTATTACCGATTGATGATGAAGCTTTTCGTTTTAAATATTTTTCCATAATGAATGAGTTATGTAAATCTAAGTAATGAAAGCAATAATAAGTAATCTGTAATGAGTAATGTAAATTAGTAAATCTAATCAACATCTGAAAACTAAACATCATCAACTAAACTAAGTAATCAACTAATGAATTGATCAATTTGTATTTTGTAACTCAGTAGTCAGTATTCAGTTAACACAGTGTCACAGTCAACAATTCAATTTTATTCAATCATCAATTCATCATCAAAAATTAACTTAAGTAATCACTATTCAAGTAAGTAATCAACTAAAAGTCTAAGATTAAGAGTAAAAATGGATACCTAAAATGGGTAAATCTGAAAATAGAGATCAAATCATCAACTCATCAAATGAGAATCGTTCGAGTGAGTCTTCAACTCTTCAAGAATTGTCTGAGCGAAAGCCGAGTGACTCAGTACCGAGTCTTCATGACTCGTCCAAATCGATGAATCGAATCGATTCTCGCTGTCGGCTAGTCGTTGTCACTCACACACTCGCTCACTCGCACTCTCACTAGATCGTCGTCTCACTCACACTCGCACCAGGTAACTTTTAGGGCTTTACTGTTTACTGCTTTAGGCCTTAGGGCTTTAATCTTAGACTGCAGTTTTCTTTTATTTGGGCTGGGCTTACTAAACTTATCTTATTAGAATAATCTATTTGTTGGGCTTACTTATCTAATCTATTTGGGCTTTATTTTGTTTGGGTTTTAGACTTAAGTTGCACTGTTTGATTTTCAAAAAAAAAAAATACGGTAGCACCTTTCAAAACGATACGGTAGCACCGTTAACAAACCTAAAAACTTTACCCTTCGGTGGCTAAATAATACGGTGGCACGTGCCACCCATGCCACTAGACCAGGTCCGCCCATGGCATTTTGGTCATTTTCCATAACTTTTATTAATAAAAGGGAAAACTACGTTTGAACTAAGTTTGACTTGATTTTTGTTTTGGAGAACCAACTTTCAAAATCATTATTTTGGGGTCTAAAACAAAGTTTTTGTTTATTTAAGGGTGTTGCTATTTTGACCTTTTCAAATAATGTTCTCTCTCTTTCTCTCATCCCAAAGCAATTTTTTTTATTATTATTTCATCCTTTTTCAATTAATGTTCTCTTTCTAGTCAATTGACTTTATTATTTACTAGTTGTATACTCATGCAATGCGGCGAGAAGTAATATTTTACGAAAAAAATGAAAATAAATACAAGAAAAATGGTGCTATTGATATAAAAAAAACTGTAGGAACGTGTGAAACCCATAAAATTACTTTCTAAAAGAGGCCTTAAAGAGAGAAATGAGGTTCTAACATATTTAGAGGAAAAATTATACAGGTTCAACAACATGAAATCTAACAAAAACATATTTCCTTACATGTCAAAGCTTGTTAGACGCATGGTATGTGTGTCCATACTATGCAGACATTTGAATGTAGGTGTTAAAAAAAATACAAGTGCAACAAATGTGTAACATAATTGAATACTTTGCAAAACCACTTGAAGTATAGACTGATTTGTTTCTACCAATTTGAAGAAACATGCCGAAAAGTCAATTCTTCAATCAACCCTGCATGAGTGCACACTAGATCTTTCACGTTGTGATGGTTTAAGTCCATAATTTTATCCATATCACCTAAATTCTTTGTACATCAAAAGTAAGGGTAACACGTTGAGTTCAAATTATCATCGTTAAGTTCAAGGTCCCATCATCAATATTTCAACATGTTTATAAGTAACCGAACGTGATGGCAACAAGATCAAATTTCATTCATTTCAAAACCAAAAAGAATCAATGTTTGAACTCCAATATTTTTTTTTCACATGATAGACCCAAAGACCTTCTATGTAAGACCTGTCATAGATGAAAAATTAAGTGATTAAAAATAAAGCACGCTTCTAAAACAAAAGATAACAACTAAAATATAACCAATACTATTAAAACATATTAAATGAATAATCATTTGCATGATTATCAATCCAACTACAACTAAATACTAAAAACTTCCTTGAAACCGTGTCATCCAAAACACAGTCAACAACTTAGGATAATTTAGTTTGATGCCTAAAGCAAGAAGGTACTCTGTTTTTTGCATGGATAAACCAAAAGACAAGATAATAGAAGATCAAAGAGAGCACAAATTATACAAAATGATAAACAAATAGTATAGAGACATCCATAACTCTACTCTAAAACTTGGCTTTTTTTTTATTAACCCGGATATCCAACCCGCTATGCGAGCCGACTAATCCCAGAACGACCACCTGCTTTACAAATAGCCCGGAGTCACTGCATTTGAACCTCCGTGACCACAAGGAGATTTTTATTCCTCATTAGATTTGAATCTGGGATTCCCTGGTACTTTTGACCTTTGGAGCCAAGCTAAAACCAATCAGGCACCAGCCTTGTGGTTAAACCTCTACAACTTGGCTTGAAACCTCTTGAAGTAGAAATATAGAATCTAGGCTTCTAAGTTATAACAAAAACCTTCAAGAACAAAAGCAAGTAGTGATAAAGTTAGAAAATAACATTTAAAATAAAGATATTCAGAACAAAAAAAAAGTTCATATCATGGTTGGAAAATCGACAGTAAAGTAACAGCTTATAGACCAAATCCATGAGTAAAAATCAGTCTTCTTAATCCCAATATCCTCAATATGAAATGAAGGTGGGTTAAAAAAATCTCAACCATTTTAATTTCTCACAAGTGAGCTTGTAACCCACCAATGTCAACAAAGAATTCTCCTCATATAAGTGCTTTTTTTTTACATATTATGAATGTTAAATTTTAATAATCCTTATAATCATATAACAACTTTTATAATATAATGTATAGAAAACTAAACTTATTATCAATCGGTTACTTTACATGTGCATTTGTTTAAGCATTGGATATAATAACAGCAGGATCATGGCAATCCCTCAAATAGCTTCTTAAAGTGTTTGCAAAACCCATCTCACAACTAAGCTTGCTTTACTATTTCCTTGAATATAATATGAAAACAAGGACCATCCCAACTAACAAGGTGATCCCAAAAACCGCTTACCAAATGTGATTCTTCCACCGATTCCTTCCCATGTGGTTGTCCAACCTCCATATTGGTAAGGCAATATGAAAGCATCTAAGTAGTAAGCCCACCCCAAGACGACTAAATTCTAATTTAAAAGGCTAAAGTGAAAATTCTCCATCTTTGAAATGGAAAATATGAAGTTTTATATATGCAGCATCAGGTGAGACACGTAATATGCAGTGATTGCACACGTAGAAAATGATTTAATATCATTTTCTTTAAGCATTGCTAATATAAGGGTCTTATCTGGTAAATGAGAGTGATGAATCTTACCCCGTTAGCGCTTAGATTTTTGCATAAGATGCTGTTTTGATGGACTAAATTCTTAACCGGTAAGGCAAATGATAAATGATAATGTTTGAATTTTACAGGCAAGCGCTTACCGAGTTAAGTGTTTGGGTAAACAGTCCCTGGTATGTAGAGGTTCTTCAGTGTCATCTAACTAAAGCAACAATAATTGAAGTAATAAAGGCATAGTGATCTGCAACAATATTCATTAGGCATATGTATCTGTTTTTTGAAAAAAAAATGAAACAAAGTTATTGCAACAATGAAACAAACTTACTTAAAACATTGTTGCAAAATTGCATCCTCATGCTTCAATCAGGGTAGCTTTATAGTTGTATTGGCATTTCCATCAATCTCCCTCTAACATGTAGAAGTGTAGATATAATATTTGAAAAAGTTTTAAAGAGGGAAAACTAAAACATTTGAAATCTAAGTTTCACCACTACCTGAAGGAACCCTACGCACTTTGGATTAATACCTAACTCAGAAAATAAACACACCTATTAAACTTGATAAATCCACTTGAACAAATAAAATAAATGAAGGATGAGATAAAGAAGAAAGTTGTGAGACCTCAACATAGCTTGCAAAACCAATTCAATCATCTCCAATGACACCAAATCTTGAATAATCCTACAAAACATCAAAAACCCACAAAAGAAATTTACTTTTCATTAGTTGCTTGGGTTGGAAACATCTAAAATAACATCATATATATAT